GCCATATAAGTATGGTGACACCTATGTGTTCCTGATCACAACTACACCTAGACCAGCCTGCAAATTCTCAGAATTAAAAAAAAAATCAGAGACTGTTTGTGGTATAGGAAATGTAACAATAACCTTAGCTAATAATCTCATTTTACAGAGAAAGAAACTGAGGCTCAGAGAGATATGACTTGCCCAGAATAACCCTGCAAAATTATGAAGGGGCTATAGCCATTGAGTTTTCACTGTTTCTTCTAGGCACTCACTCACATGGTTGGGATTTTGGGTCTCTCTTTCTCCTAAATACACAAGACATTACAGAAGTTTCCAAGATTTCAGTTACGATGGCCAAATTGAAATGTTACGACATCTGCCCTATTTTTCAGGCAATTTCTCAACATAAAAGCCAATGCCAATTATTCAGCATTTAGCTCATTTAACCGAAGCTTCTGAAGAGCAACTGTGATCCTGGAGCTTAACTGTGTGAGCTGGAAAGGAGGGAGAAACATTTTCTATTTCAAGAATATGTAATTGGACAAATCCTGGAACTGGGGTTCTCGTCTCGGCCCTCCTACTAAGCTTGCTGTATAACTTCAGCCAAATCTCTCTAAACCATCGATTTAGATCGTCTCTTAGCTTTCTCCCACCTCTGACCCTCTTGCACTTTACCTTTTAAAAATGTCATTATTTTATACATTCTTGAAATGCATGCACATGTACACTGCCCAGCTGAGCATGAGACAAAAACAGAATGAGACACGGCACGTGCCTACCGGGAATTTGTCGTTCTTATTATACCCACCATCACCAACCCAGGAAGACGAGGCAAGGACACAGACCCCTCCTAACACCTGTCGCCAGACTGCAGACTGGCAAGCTATGCACTCGAGACTTCCTTAAATGCCTTTTCTGGGAAACAAAGCTCCTTGCCTGCCCAGGCACAAGCTTCCATGAAAAAGTCTATTGTTAATCTGGCACTAACATAGTTGCTATAACAAAGTAAGTTTGTATAACGGTATGCTTTCTGGTCCCTGCCCATTCTATGTGTGGGCATTCTATGTGACATTCTATGTATAATTAAAAAAATAGCACTGATCCTGGTTTTGCATGAACGGACAAGGAAGCACAGAAACAAGCTGCATGAAAGCCAGGCTCCTCAGAATCGTGCCATCCCACTGAGAGCACTGATCCTCCAGATCTTTCACCTCTCTTGACTGTCAATGTTCCAAATGCCTCAAATATCCAGTTATCTTAACAAAGCATTCACCAGTCTTTAGCCCAGGTGGATGGGACACTTACTGTCCACACGGAACTTACACTCTGAGGGGTATCAGATAAGCATTCAGATCATTATCCCACACACACAGCACAACAGAGAGGCTACTGGGATTCAAAAGATGGAAAGAAAAGATATACTGTTGGTGAAATCATGTCTGGGCATATGGAGGAGGTGGTGTCTGAGGTGAGACTTGGAAGGTCAACAAGGTTTTGATGTGCAGGAGTAGAGGGTAAGGGTGTTTTTGGTGGAGGGTGATCATAAGCAGAAGCATAGAACCGAAAGAAGCAGGGGACATGTTTAAGGCACGAGACAAAGCCCAGGTTCTCTGGACAGTTGTCTGGGAGTAGGGAGGAGAGGAGAGGAATGATGTTCTATAAAATCTCTGATATGAGAATGAAGTGTTTATGCCCAGCATTATAAGCAGTAGAGACTGATAGGTTTATGGAAGAGGGGAGTAAGGTCACAGGATTACAGAAGTTTTGAACTCAAGATCCCTGCGCCTTCATTCTACAGACAAGGGAGTCAGATCCCAATTCTCTGCACTGCAGCAGCTGTGCTACAGGGTGACCCTGGTAGCAGTGTGCAGGGGGTGGGGGTGCTAGGGGTGGAGAAGACAGAGTTCAGGCAGGACAGTGGTGTGGCAGCTGTTACAGAGTCCAGGAAAGTGGTTCAGGCGGGCTAATGAGGACCTGAGCTTCAGGGGGAGAGTTGAAGGGTGGTAGTCACAGGAGGGGCTGGGGTTTGGGGAGCCCATCAAGTCCCCCTTCCCTCTTCTCCATAGGGCTGAGGGTAGTAATTTTTCATTCACATCAGAGAGGCAAGCATTTGATTGGATTCACTGGCAGGTCCGGAAAACAAGGAGTGAATGGGTCCATCCTTCTTCTGACTATGAACTCTTAGCCCTCCCGAATCCCTTCCAATACTGTGCAATCTCTAGAAAAAAAAAGAGGCCAGAAACCACGCCAGGGATGACCAGTAGCAGCCCTGGAACTAACTGTCCCTTCAATGGACCAGCAGATGATTTTAGGATTCAGGCAACTCTGAGGCTTTTCTTCCTGGCTTTGCTAAAGAGTGCCCAGGCATACCACGGCCCAGAGTCACTTCACAAATACGGACCTTCCAGCCCACAGGGGTGCTCCCCTGAGGGTTTCGACCCACACAGGGATGGCAGAAGCCCTCCTTTGGGGTAGTTCCCTGCAGATGCCTGTCTCTGGTTCACCAACCTCTGCTTGGGGCTCCTGCCTTGTCCCTTGTCCTGCCCTTCAGCTCATCCTCTCTGTGACTTCTTATTTGAACTGGCTCATCAACTTAAAGCCAGGATGTCATGAGTCTGTTTGACAAAGGCATAGCTGTGGCAAAGCTTAACAGTAGGTGTGAACTTGGAGCTTCCAGTTGTGCAGAATTCTGAGTCGGCAGTCCATCTTTCCTCTTCGACACGGCCTTTTGTTTGTAACAATTCATAAAGACAACCAAGAAAGAAATCACGAGGGGTGGTTTCTGTCATAAAGACAGAGTATCAGCCTAACAGATCATTTTCTCACCAGCGCAATGATTACACATAGTAGCAACCCAATAAGGATGGACAGTGAATCAGTGACTCTTTTGGTCCATGCCATGCCTTGGTAAGTTCCTCTTTCTCATGAACTAAGAGGAGAACTATCATCAAGTCCAGTTGATTTCAACTAACCTGGTGGGACGAAGTCACCTTTCACTTTCCACTATAAACTATTTGCAAGGTTGTTGGTGTCCTCTCCCCCAACCACCCTGTACGGGACGGGGGCACAGGACATCTTAGGCTCCATGTGGAGGACCAAACTGGACCTCACAACAGAGGACACCTTTAGGAGTCCTTTTGTAGTGTCTGGAGGTGGTAGATTGTGGTGGTTTTGTGAGCAATCTCTGGAGGCAGACAACCTGCATTCAGATCCCATCTCTGCTAAGGATGAGCAGATGGTCTTGAGCAAGTTACCTGATCTCTTTCCACCCTGCTTTCTTCATCTGCAAAATGGGAATAATAAAGTGGGTATCCAACAGGGTTGGCACACAGAAAAAGTGAATCAACAAGATACATAGTGCTCAGCATAATAAGCACTTAAGAAATTCCAGATGTTTTTAACAAGGAAGCTCTGATGTTTGAGTCTACTGAACATCTCGTGACCGGTAGCTTAGGGGCAGAGGCCAGTAAAGGTGACAAAGGTGCTCTCTGGGCATGCTGGCTGTGCACAGGAGCAGTATTGCAGTACTTGGCAGTATCTAAAAGGGCTCAGAAAATAGTGGCCCTTCACCTGCCTCCTTGAGCAACAGTTCTGGCTAGTCCACCCCTGCAGCCTGCTCACCTGGGCAATTACCGGCATGAGGCTGACCTAGACAGGCATGCATATGGCCTGATTGGTTTGTAAGGTTTCAAAAAGAAAAAAAAAAGGGAAAGAGAAAGAGACAGACAGGGAGCTCTCCAGACAGCTATTTCAGGGGGACTTTTTAGTGCCTTTTCACTTTTTGGGGTGGGGGGGTGTTTTTTCTAGACATCAGGCCCTGTCAACCTCCTTGCGTGTTAGGCTGTTCAGCTTGTCAGACTTGGGTGGGGGTTGGGGGGAGACTTAGGAACCATCTGCCGGTCTTGTTTTGGAGCTAAGGAAACTGAAGCCCTGGGTAGTAAATAAATTGCCCAAGGTCACCCAGTTAGTCAGTTCAAAATCAAGGCAAGTTGTCTGGCAGCCTGGTGTCCAGGGTAGGGCTCACTCTACCCCAACAGGCTGGCTCTTTGGTTTTCTGAACTCCGCTGACTTTTGGCCCTGTTTCCAGGGTCAAACTCAGGTGAAACCCGAGTTTGCTTGTGCAAATCGTGGCTTTTCTTCAGTTTTCCTGCCTGCGACCCCTGCCCCAGTTCCCTGCCCCGGGCATCCCGATATTCACACCTCCCTCTTGTCGGCCCCTGGTGCACACTCCTCGATGTGTTCTGTCCTGCCGGCTCCTGAAAACCTGCCTGCTTCAGCCCAGAGGAATCTGTGCCTTAGGGCGTCTTAGGCTTCCGGAGTCGTGCCTGGGTGACACCCAGAAGGGACACACCGGAGGGTCCAGTTCTCTCTGCCCCGAACCTGTTTCTCTCCGCTTTTCTCTTCCACTCCATTTTTTGTCTTCTTCCCACTCTCCTTGCTCACTCTCCCTCAGTCTTGCTCTTCTGCTTCATATTTCCCTTCTCGTCCTCTCTCCCTTCCAATCCTTGTCCCTTCCCTCTTCTTCCTTCCCTGGGTCATTTTCGAGTTTGCATCTTCCTGGTTCTCCGGGTGCTCTACCCCTTTCCTCTCCCCATCTCTTCCCCCTTCCCTTCCGCTGACCCTTCAACACATCTGTTTCCAATCTGGGCCCCGGAGGCGCCTGTTTGAAACAAAAACCTATCCCCGCCCCCCAACCCCGCAGGAACCTGGCACGAAAATTCCTGAAGGAGCCTTTCCTTCCCCAATCCTCTAGTTTCCCCACATACTCCTAAAATTGAACATCAATCCCCCAAAAGACACCCCCCACAACGGGTCACAGCCCAGCTGGACCAGAAACCACCTCCAGCCCCGAGTGTGCTCCGTGGCCAGATGTGCTCCTCCGCAGCCCGGAGGCCGGGGGTGAGGGGCCGGCTCACTCCAGGGGCTGCCGCACCACGGTCCGGAGCCAGCGTTCGTCCCCGGACGCAGGCGTGTGTTTGCCCTGGTCCCCCGTCCCCCGCCCGCCCCGAGGCACTCACCTAGCCAGAGGAGCAGGAGAAGGGTCATCCCGACGCCCGACACGGGTACCTCCGTTCAGCCTCTGCTTGGCGCTGGGGCGGCAGAGCGCAGCCGACGGACCTCGGGCAAGCTGGGCGCGGCGCCTCCGGAGTCTTGCGGGGTGACTGCGGCCATGTGCCGCCGCCGGAGCGGCCCCGCGCCACGCGCTCCCGCTCGCAGACTGGCCTTCTGCGCGCGCCCCACCAGCTGGCGCCCAGACGGGAGCGGGGACCAGGGTTCGGGAGGAAAAAACGAGGCGGAAAGACTCTACCGCTCGTGGAACACTTTTCCCTGTTTGGAAAGAAAGAGGAGTGGAGAAAGAAGGGGAAAAAAAATACAGTGAGCTGGAACCACTTGGTTGCCTCCTCCCTGCAGCCCCTCCCTCGTGGCTCGCCCCCGCCCTCCCAGCTCTGGGTTGCGCCGCGGGGAAGGGGCCGGGCCCGGCTGCACCTCGGGGCCGGAGGGGACGGGGCGAGCGGAGGCTGCGTGACTGCGTGGGCGCGCAGTGTAGGGTTGAGTCTGTGTAGGACGAAGTCAGGGGTATCCCAGCTAGGAGCTGAGGGATGAGGCCTTGTCAGTGTGCCCTGTCTCTGCTCTCACTTTGACCTCTCCACGCCTCTCTTGCATCTTTTTCTCTCTAACATACACTCTGCTTTCATTTCTCTCTCTCCCCATCCCGGCCCCCCCCCCCGCCCCATTTACATTCTTCTTGCCTCTCCCTTCTCACCTCCTGCCTCCCGTTTTTCCTTTCTCCTTTTCTCCTCTCCCTGGCCTCCCTGTCTGGTTTCGCCTGCTCGAAACTGCAGACCATACACAGCACTGCGCGTGGAAGTGGCTACTGAGACAGCGAGGCAGCAGAGTGATTGCTGCCCTCCTGACTCACCGCCTGTGCGTACACCGCAGCCACCTCCGCCTCGCTGTCCCTCGGGCTTTGGCCCTGGCTCTTCTCTGGTCTGTGGCCAGAGTTTACTGTGGCCCACCCCAGATGCGGGCAGAGCCGAGCTGGCCACCACCGGGGGTTGCGGGCCAGAGCACAATGGACGGGATCTGTTATAGGGAGCAAGGGAGCAAGCCGCACTGCAATGGGCCCTGGCCAAAACGTGAAACACCCCTTTCGGAGAGAAAAGAAAGCAGAAAGCAGGCCTCTCTTCAGGCCTGAGAGGCGGTGCTCCCGGCTCCAGGAACTAGGCCCAGGAGGGGAAGGGGGCACGGGGCCGCTCTAGGGGTCTTTCCTTGAGGACCCTGCAGCAGCTAGCCCGCAGGAGGGGGCTAGGAGAGAATGGGGCAGTGACCGCAGCGTTCAGGCCTCAATTGCCCACAGCTCCAGCTCGTGCCTCGCACCCGTGTCCTGGGGCTCCCGACCACATTCTCTGGCCCTGGCCTCCAGGCGCCTGGAGCGGTGGCTTCTTCCGCCACAACTGGCCTGAGGAGCTGCTCGCTTACCTTCCTCCTCATCAGTGCCTGTACTGGGAGCGGGTCGGAGCTCTGAGAAGCGGGGTTGTCGGACGAGATGAACCCCAGGCTAGACAGGCTGTTGGATCACACATCTGCCCCGTTTTTTTCCAGCCCTCTCTCCAGGGTCTTAGATCCCAGGAGCTGCAGAGTCCTCTCTAATTAGCTAGTCCTTGTTGGAATGAAAATCAACCCATTTCACAGCCGAAGAAAGCGGAGGCCTGGAGAGGTTAAGGGGGTCCTATGAAATCACTCAAACGGGACGTGAAAGCAGGGCTGTTGGGCTCAGGCAGGGTTGCTGCTTTGTCACCGTCACCGTGTGTTAGCATCTGCTCTGCGCCAGATGCTTTGTGTGTGTGCGGACACAAAGCGCATAGAACTCAGTTATTGACATTTTTAAGCATTTGGAACTTTAATATCATGGCACCAACATGAAGCAGGAATTATATTAATTATCTAATATTTATCTTTTTATTTAATTCCTATGAAAATGCTAAGGGATGGGCATTTTTAAATCCACTTTAAGGAGGAGAAAACTGTAATCTAGAGAGGTTAGATATTTTGCCCCAGATCCTACAATATAAACCCTCTCTATTACAATATTAATATTCTAAAATATTGTTTGAAATAAAAATATTTTTATTTTATTTTATTATACAATATTTTTATACAATAAAAATAAAATATTTAAAAGTTCTCTTTAGCTTTTCCCATTTTATACTTCTTGTCTAACACGAGGAAAAAATAGTCATAAATATAGTTTGTATATGAATGTGTTAAAATGTTAATTCTTCTTAAAGGCTGAGGAAGGTGGAAAGGCAGCTTTTCATGATTTCTGCTTTAAAATTTTATTTAATATTCTAATATACTTTCAGACTTACAGGTTTGCAGAAAAGTGACAAAAAGCATATTCTAATATACTTTCAGATTTACGGAAAAGTACAGAAAATTCTTAGATACTCTTCAGCAAAGTCCTCCTTTCATTTCTTTCTAAAGGAAATGTTTTTGCACAAGTTTTAAGCCCCATCTCTAGTGCCCCTCTGCTGGTGGCCTTTCTCATGGATCTGGTCACAGCACGTCTTGCTCGAGGGTGGGGTGCTCATGACAGACATGTGCGCGTGTGGGCAGGAGTGTGTTTAAACCCACGTTGCTCAAGCTAAAGGTAAATAGATGCTGGCAGCTTCAGTCATCAGTCACCAGCACAGGAAATGGTTTCCCTAGGCTGAGTCTGGGTCATAAGCATTTAGTTTTCCCAGGTGCAAAGTCCTCTCGCCAGTAGATATTTGGCATGTATTCCTTGGGGAGAGTCCTTGACCCTTAGAGATTACTGTCCCCAAACTCAAAGCCTCTCTTCTGTTGCGCATTTGTGGGTCAGAAGAGTGGGGAGCCCTGGGGATGGTGCTGTGACTCAGCAGCCCCCGCCTACCTACCCCATGTCCCACAGTGACTGGGTTGGGTGCCATGGGGACCCAAGAGGCATGTGGCGGTCCTTACCGTAAATGGACATCTCACTCCAGTGGGAGAGAAAACAGCAACATGTGAAAACTTTCAACAAAAATACTCAAAAGTTATGTGGTTAAGCAGCAGAATAGTCTGCTTACCATGACAATAACAAACACAAGTATTCCAAGAAAGGACGGAGCCCTGCAGGCTGGGGTGGCTGTGGAGAACCCCTGGAAGAGCACTTTTTGAGCCAGGCCTTAAGGAATGACTTTCATTCGACAAAAGGACCCGAGGAGGACCACTGTGGGGCACCCCTGAACACATGCACGGAGCTGGGTATATTCAGGCGGCCCTGAATGAAATGATATATGGAAGATGAAAAATTCGTGCCGTAGCAAAATGTCCTGGAACAGTTAGCCTAAAGTGAACTTGTGAAGAGTCCTGAATGTGAGGCAAAAGATTCTGGACCTTTCCCAAACTCACTGAGAAAAATTCAGCAAAACGGACCTTGATGAGGACCATAATTTTAGAAGTGTAAATTGGCAGCTTTTCCCCAGAGGTGACCCCAGAAGTTAGCCAAGGATGGAGAGCTTTAGTACCCCTTTTATATCATCAAGCTCCTACCCCATGCTTTAATATGGACAGTGGACATTTTCTCAGCATTTTGTAAAGAGGTATGGATGTGCGGCTTCAAGACAAGTTCCTTCTTTTCCACTCTCTATGGAGAGCCAGGGACTGCCCTAAACCTCTTCTCTAGAGGCTTCTAGAGCCACCTCAGTGTGTGCATAAAAGATTGGGAGAATGTGAAGCAGAGGAACTGGTTAGGACCTGTTACATTTCATGGGGAGATGAGATGAGGGCGGTGATACTCAGAGGAAAGATTCGACAGGTTAAATATCTGGTGGTCATTATGGGAGAGGAAGTAGAAGACAAAAGAGGCACCAAAGATAACTCTACATGACCTACTGTATTTGATGTGTGCTAAGGTTAATAGCAGCTATTTACTGACCTCCTAATATAGAACAGGGATTATGAATGTTGTTAGTGAGCCTCACAATGCCATACTACAATGAGGAAACTGAGGTTCGGAGATATCAACCAATTGCTTACCACTCCCGGGTTAGTAAGTGATTGAGGCTGGATTTAAAGTTGGGAGATTGAAAGCCCCTCCACCTCACTCTCTTTTGATGGCATTGCTAACTAACTGGGGAGTCAAGTGAGTTAACTTGTCAGGAAGGGAAATACAAGTTTAATTTGATACATGGTAACTTTGAGGGGAAGACAAACCATTATCCATTTATCAGTTTATTCATTTATCCATCCATCTTTGAAGTTTTTTAAATTGATAATTCATGGAATCTTGTTTAAGCACCCAGAACCTGCCAAGTCCTGGGAAGTCAATGGTGAGCAAAGCAAAAGTTGTCCTTGACATCCAGGTGCTTATGGTGAGTGAAGGATGAAGGACAACAAACACTCACAATGTGGATTGGGAACTGCTCTGAAAGGGAACATGCAGAGTGCTGTGAGGCTGGGCGTGGACTCCTGCACCTCGGGGAAGAGCTGTCGGGGAAGCCCTGTGAGCTGAGCAGGAGGGGAGCATGATGAGGAACGGGAAGACCTTGCTGTCATCTCATGTCAGAGGGTCCTGGATCCGAGGACCACGTCTTTCATTCCCTTAGAGCTCCAGTGTCCAGCTATGCCCAGGCAGCCCCTCGGGCTCAGGAGGGCAGGTGTTGCAGAGAAGGCAGCCATGGGGTAGTGGAAGATCTCTAGGCGGGGAAGGCAGATAGTTCGTGTTCTCAAGGGCTTTGAGGAGGTCACTTCAGCGAGCCTCCCTTCCTCTTTTCCTAACACTGTTGTTCTGAGAAAGAATAAGAATAATGAACATACCTACCACAGTGTTTAATACTTAGGAGACTCAGTAAATACTTGTTCCAACTAAAACCTGAGTTCATAAGATTCCATCCCCTGAAGAATAAAAGAGCCAACTCTGTCTCATTCCCTTTTCCTATTAAAATAAAGTTTTACATGGCATTTCCTGTCCTACAAGGATACTTACTGACTCGGCCATCAGCATGCCATCTTTTCACCACTGGACAGTAGGAGGTCCCTGCCAGCATTCAGGGTCTTGACTGGACAACAGTGATGGAGGCTGCACCTGGGGAGCCCCATGTGCTGATGGCGGCTGAGGGAAAAGGAATTATCACCAAGGTGGGGAAAGCATTTGTTTTCTTCTCAGAGGGCCTGGGAGTGGGGAGAGGTGAGGATGGCTGGGCCCTGTTCTGTCCCACACCATGAGAGGACAGCCCCCAGCTTTGATCTGTATGGCCAGGAAGGGATTTTGGGGGACAAGTGTTCCCTGTAGGACATTTGTTAGAGAGGAAACAGTCTCCATCTACCTGCAAGGCCCCAAGATCCACAGGCCTGTCCTTTGACCCCAGTGAAGGTTTTAGGGTACCAGGGGGAGAGTCAAGAGCCAAGATGAAAAATAGAGATGGTTTACACAGCGGCCAAGCCTAAGGATTTGCAGCCAGGGTCTCGCTCTCCTGCCACCTCTTCCTTGAGGTCAGCTGCTCTGGGCTTTCCCAGTCCTCCCCACACCATACTTTCAATTCCTGCTACAGTAACCCTGTCAGAGTTCAGGCTTTGGAGGAAGACCAGCTGATTTTGTTTTCATA